CAATCCACTTTTGTCAACCCCTGATTTTTTTAAATGGCTCAGCTACATTGTAAATGTGGGTCACTCTCAATGTACTCCAGGTTTAAAAAAAGGCTGATTGATTGACATAGACTATTCCCTGTACGCAAAAAGAAAAACAGACCCTCAAATCACTTACTTTTAGCAGAAAACTTGTTCTTTCTTCTTAAGACAACTATCACAGATGAATCTGTAAAAAAAAAAACAGTTAGAAAAAACAAAAGCTAATCAGAAGAAGTTATCTATTACTTTATTACTTTGGCAGAGCATTTAAAAGGCACTTACCCTGAGGGCCATATGACTTCATAATGCAGCACACAGATTTGATTAATCTTGCGCTCATAAATCTTTACATTCAACAAACCTGTTTAAAGAAAGATGTTAAATAGAACAGGTATAATTTCAGATAAAGGCAATTCCAAAATTAAAATTGTGTTTGTCTAGTGATTTCACTCACGGCTCAGGGTCTAACATGTCATTTTTCTTCTTCTTCTCAAATTGTTCCTTTGATATCGTACTGGGTAGAGAGTATAATTAATAATCAATAACAAATGCTACACAATGAGTACCAACAAATGGCAACACACAGTCAAATGTAAATGCAATATTTCATAATGATCATTTAATGCAAATTTGATTTTAATCTTAAGTCAGTAAAGTTAAAAATAATTTGTCAAGACTCAAGACACATTTTGTCTGATTACTTGAGTTTCAGACAGCTGTTGTGCAGAGCAAACATTACACTGATTGATCATCTAGATTTCCATACTTTCTCTAAACCTCTCACATATTTTTCAAACCTGGAACTGTCAGTTCTTCCTTTTCAGACTTTTTAGGTCTGTACAAGCCTGGCTTGTATTTCAAATCACCCTGCCTTGTTCCTCTTTTCCTCCTAAAGCTTGGCTTCCTCACATTCTTGCTTCCTCTTTAAGGGAGGCTGCACTTACATCTGGGGCTGTGCAGGATAGGCTCCCAGGGTGACGCTGCTGCCCTGGATCTCATTAAAGCACTTTCACAGAAGTGATACCTGTCCGCAAAAAGGCCATATTTGGGTGAACTGGACCCAGCACACGGAGAGCACCACCGGCACACGGAGAGCACCACAGCACAACAGGGCAGACCAGGTGGGCAGGTGGAGAGACAACACATAGCAGACAAGGCCAAGGCAAAGGTTAGCAACTCAATCTCATTACATAATACATTAAATAAAGGCCCGCTTCTCAATATAAGTAATGGACACTTACATGAGTTACAAGTGTATTGGGTACACCTACTTCATACATACACCCAATGGCCATTTGATCAGGTTCTCCTACCATGCAGTTGCACTTTCCAGGTATATAATTACTGACTGTAGCCCATCTTTTGCTTTGTAGTTTGTCAGCCACTTTCTGACCCAGGCAACAGACTGCATAAATGAAAAGGGACCACCATAGGACTACCACTGTCCAAGGGCTCAACTGGGACTTCAGAGGTGGGGGAGCCAGGACAGAATTCTCAGCCCTGATATCAAGAAAAAGGGCTTAAAACTAACAGCCTTTCTGTTTCTGTGTTAATGTCTTAAGTTAATTCATTTATGTTGTTTGCTGTTTTTAATTATCCTTGTTTGTCAGTTTTGGTATCAAAGTAAAATAAGAATATGATCTGATTATTTTCGAGGATCGTGTGAAAACAGTTGGCTAAACATCATAGATATGCAAGGCAGTCCATTTTAGTAAAAACCTGTTTACATGAGACAGGTTTATTGTGTGAACAAATGTGAAAGCTTCCTCAGCCCTTACCTCGGAATATTTTTGAATGGCTTCGGATTTTACAGGATAAATAATGGCAAACCATTTAGGCTACTGAAAGGTTGGGGCATAATATACATATTTATTTAGTAGGGTATTTTAATTTATGCAAAAACATGAAACAGTAGGAAGGATTGAAAACATACTTACCTGGCTAAGAAAACTGCTAGAACGATATGAGGGCATGCCACTGAACGTGTTACCATGTGCAAAAAAAAAAGTTTAAAGATTTTTCTGTCAGTGTAGATTTATCATGTCATTAAACCAATTTCATGATTTTCATTTACATGGTGATAGTAGACAGTGTTGCACTGATACAAGTATGGTCGTGATGGTACCGCTCTTTTTTGAACATCAAAAATTCTTTACAATATACACATATTTAAACACATATAATTTGAAATATGAGAAACAGTATTACTGTAATTATTATTTGCAAAATTTATTTAAATCAAGCTCGTTGATTGGCTGGCAAAATGTGCAAATTAATGTAAACCATTTTCTTCTCGACTGTATGAAATTCATCAGTAGGGTTGCAACGATTATTCGACTTAGTTGACTAAAATCGACGACCAAATTAGCAACTAATTTAGTAGTCGATTAGTTACTGACATCATTACGCGTCTTTCTCGCACTCACTAGGAGAGTTTTGACATTGCCGGTCACTGGAGAGTTAACAACAGCGCGTTGGCTGCCTCAAGAATAAAATCCTCAAAACTGTGGAGCTAAACTTAGAAAAAAAGGTTATCAGTTGTGCTTTTTGTAAGCCGACCTTAGCTGGCACGGGAGTACATCCTCCGTAATGTAGCTAGCATCTGAAGAGGAAACTTGTCGGCTCACTGGATGAAGAAGATATCTCGGTAAGATGTGCCGCGTCCCAAACCGCATACTAGCACACTAAATAGTGTGTAAAAATATGTAAAAATAGCGCATATACCATTAGAAGTGCAAATATAAACTTGAAATATAAAAAAATGGCACTGAGGAAATCATTCCAAAGCCTGCTTTGCTTGCTATCACAGTTTTAGCACTCAGTATGGATCCAAGAGGAGAGAAAAGCAATACAAATATGGTGGCTTTATGCTAATCATATGTATGTTTTTTTTATATATTAAAGCCCCTTTCTACACTTACTATACAACAATTATATATAATTTATGATGAATATACCATGAACCGGCATGGAAAAAGAATGATGTTGGTCTTTTCCATCGAGAGATTTTTTTTAAATCTTTCCTTGTGTCCAAATTGAGTTGGACAGGACTAAATTTGGCTTATGTGATGTTAGTTCTGTCAAAGTACCAATCAATATATCTGATTTTTGACAGGACCTATGGGGCTGATGTAAAGGAACTCTGCATTACCCATAAAAAAATTTGTGATATACACTTACATTATTTGTGACATTAGTCTCATAGTTCCAGTGCAAAACTAAAGAAGCAAACTTTGGTCACCAAAAAAGCTCTAAATGAATCCAACTATTGACGCCAAATATGTTTTGGTCGATCAACTTGGGGAAAAGAGGAAACCGTGAATTAGGTTTTTCAGTGAACTATTCCTTTTTGAAACCTGGTCTTGCTCTCATTTAAACTCAGTCTTTTTCGTGGTCTTGACTAATATTAGCTTTGAACTTGTCTTGGACTCGACAAAGATGGTCTTAACTATAGCCCCAAATACAAATACTGCTAGATACATGCTACATGTAAGTAAACACCCCTGTGCACTGAAGTGATACCAATCTCAACAAAAATCCATGCACAGACCAGCCAGCTTTGGCAAGTGTGGTAATTAAGTGGCTTTTGCAGCAGTAACCCATAATTTAAGTGTAGTAGTAGCCTTATTTTCATGTTATTTCAGTGCGCAGGGGTGTTAGCTTGCTTTTCGCATGTATGCAGCAATTTAGTAGTTCAGGGGAACCTGTAATACCGGGATAAAAAATTGTGGAGAGGGGGGCGTGGCCGAGCGTCGAATGCGGGACGGAGAAGCTGGTCGTGCTGAACCAGCGGGCCTAAGTAGCTGATGTTGTTCACCTGTGCCTTGTTTCTGCCAGCCTACTTATTGTCATCTCTTCCCTCAGTAGCTGGCAGAGCCCGGAGAGAGAAGGAGACCAGCGAAGGCGTGAGAGCTGAGCTGAGCTGAGCCGAGCCGAGCCGAGCCGAGCCGAGCCTGAGGACTGAGGACTGAAGACTGAAGTCACTGAAAAGTGGCCAGCGAGCGTGTTGTAATACTTTTGTGGGCTATTAGCCGCGTGTTTTGCGTTTTCAATAATTAATAAAAAAGAAGCTCTCCGCCTTCACCCCTGCCCCCGGCGTCTTTCCCCCCATCACGGTAGAGTTGCAACAGTGGTGCCGAAACCCGGGAGGATTGGACGAACGTCGCCATGGAGTCCTCACCGCTTGGAGAGATAGTTAAAGTACTCTCCCTCCTGCAGCAGACACAACACCAAGCTCTCCTGGACGTCCAGCGGGAAAACCAGGCCCGCTTCGAGGCCCTGGCTCAGGGCCAAGAGGCGGACAGGAAGCTTTTCCGGAGTTTGTTGTCAGCCAGCAGTACTCCAGCTCCGGCTACCATCTCCATCTCAAAGATGACTCCGCAGGACGACCCGGAAACGTTCGTGGAGCTCTTCGAGCGAGCGGCGGTAGACTGGGGGTGGCCGAAGAAGGACTGGGCCGTCCGACTGCTCCCCCTGCTTACGGGGGAAGCCCAGCTTGCCGCCCAACAGCTCCCCGCTCAGTCGCAGCTGGAGTACGACGAGCTGAAAAAGGCCGTCCTCCAGAGGGTGGGTCGGACTCCGGAGCAACACCGCTTCCGCTCGCTGACCCTCCGGGAGTTTGACCGGCCCTTTGTGCTGGCACAACAGCTCCGTGATTCCTGCAGGAGGTGGCTCTTGTCCGCAGATCGTGATTCCGAGGAGGTCCTCGACCTGGTGGTGCTGGAGCAGTTCATCACCCGCTTACCCGAGGAAACAGCAGCTTGGGTCCAGTGCCACCAACCGGAATCGCTGGACGAGGCCACAAAGCTGGCAGAGGCGCACATGGCAGCGTATTCGGGGGCAGGAACCCCCACCCAGCCAATATCTCTCTCTCCTTCTCTCTCTCTCTCCCTATTCCCGCTCCCAGAAAGAAGGGGGCTCTCGCCCCCAAACCCTTTCCCCGCTCTCGCCCTCCCCGCAAGCCCCTTTCTACCTACCACACCCCCCCTGCAGCTACTCACGGTCTACCTTCTCTCTCCGCACAGGGGGCAAGAGCTGGGGTGAAGCCTGGGCCGGTGTGTTGGCGGTGTGGGGAGCCCGGACATTTCCAGGACCAGTGCCACCACATGGAGGTCGGAACATTGGTCCGGGTTCCCACATCGCCACCCACCTCCCCTGATCGAGCTGGAGCGTACCGCATACCAGTGAGTATTCAAGGGGGTACATATCAAGCCTTGGTGGATTCTGGTTGTAATCAAACCACGATTCACCAACGCTTGATTCAAGATGCGGCATTGGAGAGGGTATACCAGGTGAAGGTACAGTGTGTCCATGGGGATGTACACAATTATCCTGTCCTGCCCATTACAATCGAGTTTCGGCGCATAAAGCATAGCGTGAAGGCGGCGGTTAGTCCTCGCCTTACCCATCCTCTGATTTTGGGGACAAATTGGCCGCAGTTTGGGGTGTTAGTAAAGGCTTTAGTAGAGGATGGGTCCCGCAGTAGTATAAGGAAGGGGGCATGTGCCGCGCTCGAGGCAGGCGGGCTTCTCCGTCCGTCTGTGACGGCTCCTGAGCGAGGGGGGGCGGGACCCAGTGAGCAAGCGACGTCCGCAGACGTTCAGAACTGGCTGATAATAGGCCAGTCCGTCGGGCTCTGTTTTGGATGTCCATAGACGTTCTGACTTGGTTGAAAACTGGGCTGTCAGCTGGAGTCGTAATTGGACATCTTATAATCATATGCCAAATAATTAAAAAACACTAGTCGTGCGGTTATAATACTCACAATGTCAAAACCTGTCTGTACCAACAGGATATGTAATGCTACACCATTCCGTCAGGCAAAAAAATATTTTTTACTAACGTATCTTTTAATGAACTACGTCATTTCGCGCCCTTTCATCTCCTTCCCTCTGAGGGAGAAGCGCAGCGGCAGCAGGACCAGCAAGAGAAAGCCGGTGCAGTCGGTAAAGGTGAGTAAAACTGTCTTTTAGTGAACACCTTAAAGAATTACATTTGTTGTACTTGGTGAAGTCATGTAAGGCTTGGTTAACTTTAATCCAAATAGGAAAAAAATCGCTTAACGTTAGCCACCTAACGTTAACCTGTACCAGCAAACGTTAGCTAACGCTAGCTAACTAGTTAACCTACCAACATTAGTTTGAGTTTGCAGCATGAACCAACAACTCTGACTACGACTTTAAGTGTAAATTAGCTAGCTAAAATAGTCTCTTCATGGGCAGCTAGTGGAACATGTATGAATAAAAGCATATGTACGTTGCATTGTAATTAATGTTCAGCTGTATTTTAGCTAAGGTTAAATGTTGTTAGCGTAGCTAGCTAGATAACGTTAGCTTAGCAGACAAAATTGTTACCCGCTAGCTAACGCCACAGATGGCTAATGCTATCTTTACTTCTACTTTTGACGCCCTGAATACTAGTTAGTTAGCTCTAACTTTTATATGCAGTTTGCTTTAGGGTTTTGTTGTTTGGGAGCTTTATCTTGTGTAGGTAGCTTAGTGAGTTAACCTACAATCAAGTCAAGATGGTGTTGTATATTTGCATGACGGGCTAGACACTAAATTTGGATGGCTGCTAAGCTCTGAGGTAATGTTAGCTAACGTTAGCTAGCTAGTGTGAATTGCTGTTTGTCCTTTGGAAAATGAAGTGTTTTGGATTAATGTAGCCAGCTAACCAATATAACCATAGCTTTAGTATGTTAGAGAAGGTAGCTTCTTATGAAGTGGTAGAAAGAGGTGTAGCTATTTATAGTTAGCTTACTGTTTCTCTTTCTTTTGTTGTTGAATCCTTCTTTCTCTTTCTCTTCCTCTAATTTCTTTTTAATTCTTTCTCTTCTGTATTCTGTCACTCTTTTCCCCCTCTTCCCTGTAAAAAAAAATTGTAACTTTTAAACTTAAAAATGAATGTAAACTGGTTAACTTGACATTTGTGTTCATTAAACTTGTAATGTTATGTTAATAGAAGAATTCTTTAATACTTTTACAAATGTAGTTAAAACACAATGTGCAATGAACTCACTGTTTCAAGTGAGCCCAGTCACTCACTTTGTTTAAAAGGTGCATAATGATTTCTATATTTTTTTCTCATTTTCTCTTGATCTCATTTTCTTGTCTATAACTCTCTTCTTCTCACTTTTCTATTGTTTTTTGTCTTTTGTTCTTTTTTATTGTCTTATAGTTTCACTGTTTCTGTCCTTGTAATTTATTTCCAAATAAACTGTACATGTTTGTCTCACTAACAGGTGGGAGGAGACTTTAGACTAAGAGAGAGTGAGTGCAAGCAGTGGAGGATGCACAAACCTCAAATTTGTCACAGGCAAGTAAACCATATGCTCAAACACCTACATGTCAGCTGTGGATAGCTTCTTACAAAGCTGTATTTTATGTCGATAAATGATGTTTGTAACTAACAGTTTAACATACCAACTCCTGAGCTAATGTTATCTAGCTAGTTTGAATGGTCATATTTGCTTTGTTCTTTGCTGAAAAAGATGTGATGACAATGCCATTTTAGGTATTGTAGGCAGTGCAAGCAAACTAACGATATTACCACAGCTTTGTCATATTATCTTAGCTACTATGTTTAGTGGTGCAAAGAGATGTAGACACATTTAACTTAGGGATGCATTAGTACCAGTACTGGTAATGGGGTGTTGGTCCAGTTCAGAACTCATTTACCCGTACTCATGCTCATAAAAATTTCCCAATACGAACATTCCGATATCCGCTGATACTGTGCGATGTAAGTTGAGTGTACGCTGCTGTGCTAGTGAACAAACAACTCAAGCAGGCAGTGAACGAGAGTCTGCTCACACAGCGATATGCTGCTGACACCGTGGTGGTCGGACACAAAGCTGTTGGTCACTTTAAACATTCCACCTTGACTATGTTGACCATTACAAGCCTCATTGCTCAAATCCAATTTTTTGCTCAAATCCGATCTGTCTCACACGATGGTTCACACTCGTTTAGGTAAGTGATTCAGATCTGTCATTAATATGAACGAACCAGCATCCTGAAATGACCTGTATGAGCACATCCTACTCAATAACGTCACATGAATGAATCACGGGCGTTACGTGCATCATCAGCAAACAGACTAACAAGCAGAACGAGCTTCGCTCAGAAGATAATTAACTCTGATCAGCTCTCAGCTGCTCATTATTAGAGCGAGACTAAGGCGAAAAGGTGAGATGTGTTGCTTTTCCACCTTTTACAGGCTTCAACTTCTGTTCGGCTGCTGCCATGTTAACGCTGAATGATGGCGCAGTGCAGTGGAAAAAAGCACTTGAATTCCGATCTGAACGTCACATTAAGGTCACATGACCACGAATCGGATACGTATCCGATCTAGGACCACATATGAAAGTGACTCAAGTCGGATTTGAAAAGATCAGATATGTGTGTCCACACAGCTCTGAAAACATCAGATCTGAGTCACATTAGGGCAACAATCGGATTTGTGCCACTTCAGCATGGTAATGTGAACGTAGCCCTTGTCATAGTAAGGAATAGCAAGGAATTCAAAGGAGTGGTTTCAGCCCATTTTTATTTACACAATATCACAACCACTTTCCCAATACGGGTGGAGACACGGAGGCAGAAAAGTCGACAGTTGCTTCTAAAGTAAAATATATGCTGAATTTACTTAATTTACTGAATATAATAGTAAAAACTGAATATAATAATCACGTTAAAACTTTTGTGACTGTTTTTGTGAAATAGGCTTTAGACAGACTTTATTGTCCTACCATGTATATTTCATTGCGCATTGTGGTTAGCCAAGCTGCTCAGTACTCAGGTGTGCAGCATGTTATTTGAATGAAACAGCTAAAGTTGAAATTGTCCGTTGACAGCTGTCTGTAACAGCTGTACAGAAGTGTTTTTCTGATGTGGAACAACACCCAATGTTCTTCACTGTCATGCTACTCCGTACAAGATAACTAATGTAGTTAGTATGGATAGCTAATGCACTAAAATCAGCTAGAAATTAATGATTGAACTATTATTGCAGTCATTTACTCCAACAACTACCTCATTTGAAATAATTCACTATGGTATCATAATTGGTATCAGTGAGTCCTAAAAACATGTACATGGTTTGAAAAAAAAATGGTATCAGTGCGTCCCTAATTTAGTTCATTTAATTTGTCAAATTAGGTTTTTGGTACTTAGCTAAATGTTTCTCCAAAGTTGAGAAAAGTAATTGTTTTTCAGATATGGCCTATTTAAGAGCATGGAGAAGAAGAAAATGGGAATTGAACATACTTGCTCAGCCAGATGCAACAGATATTTCAAACCCAGCAGAATTTGAGGCAGGGAGCTGCAATATAGACAGCAATATAAGTGGCTCAGAAACAGACAGTTCTGATTTTTATTCTGACTTGGAATGCCTGCCAACTTCATCAGAATCAGACACAGAAATATTAGATAGGGATTTGCCAGATCTTAGACATGACCTTCAGCAATGGGCTGTAACAAATGGTGTCAGTCAGAGAGCTCTTAATGGGCTTTTAGGAGTTCTCAGAAAACATGGCCTTCACTTGCCCAAAGATGCACGCACACTTCTGTCTACACCCCAAACTACAGAGTGTCAGGAGAAATGTAAAGGACATTACATTTATTTTGGCTTGGAGAAAGGGATACGTCAGAGCTTGTCACAGTTTAAACCTCCTTGTGATTTGATCAGCCTTAGTATAAATATTGATGGTGTTCCCCTTTTTAAGTCCAACAGAACGCAGCTTTGGCCAATCTTGGCAACATGTAACAATTTTCAGCTCTTTGTTGTGGCGCTATTTTGTGGCGAGCAAAAGCCAGAACCTCTTGAGGAATACCTGAAGGACTTTTTAGACGAGTTCAAGCTACTTAATGAAAATGGTCTGCTGCAAAATGAGAGAAACTATACAGTTCAAATTCAAGCGTTTGTGTGTATTTGAAATGTATAAAAGGTCATACATCATATTATGGCTGTGAGAGGTGTACTGTTAAAGGTACACATGTCTTAGGAAGGATTGTTTACCAAGAAATATGCACAGCAAGAACAGATGATAAATTCAGAGAAATGCATTACACAAACCATCAAACTAAAAAGACTCCTTTGATTGAGCAGGAATTCACTGCGTCTCTACGTTTGTTTTAGATTACATGCACATGGTTTGCTTAGGGGTAGTGAGGCGCATCTTGGTGTATTTGACTCGTGGACCAAAAATTTGCAGACTTTCTAACAGTCAGAAGTGTGAAATTTCAGTGCACCTGAATAAGTTAAGAGGAACGATGCCTAGTGAGTTTAACAGGCAACCACGTGGATTACAAGATTTAGACAGGTGGAAGGCGACTGAATTCAGACAGTTCTTATTGTACACAGGACCTGTTGTACTTAAAGGCATTCTTTCACCAGAGACATACTCACATTTTTTGTCTCTGACTGTGGCTATGTCCATTATGCTTGAGTCAGACGAGAGGACCCGCAATGGCTACATTGATTATGCTTGTCAGCTTATGAGGCACTTTGTCCACAGATGCCCACAATTGTATGGAAAAACATTCTCTGTGTATAATGTACATGGTTTAGTTCATCTTCATGAAGATGTCACTCACTATAACAGCTCCTTGAATGACATTTCATGTTTTCCTTTTGAAAACCACCTTCAAGTCCTTAAGAAGCAGGTCAAGAACAGCCATAATCCGATTGCTCAAATTACTAAACGATTGACGAAGTTTGAGAATGCCAAGATGGACCCTGGCAATGCAGGAATGGCTTCTCGTGTTCATATCAAAAAAGATAAGGACCGCTGGTTTATGCTTCATGATGAAAAATACGCATTTGTACTCGAACTGAGACAGGATGAGACAGCTGTGTGTGACGTTGTGCATTATGGCCATACATTGGATTTCTTTCAACTTCCATGTAAATCAAAACTACTGAATATAGCATTTACAAGGAATGTTGATGGCAGAATGAAAAGAAGAGTGATACAACAAAGAGACCTGCAGCGTAAAGTTGCCTGTCTCCCTCACAATGGTGGATGTGTCCTTATACCCCTTCGCCATGGGACAGAACATTGTAACTATTGAAGCAATGCCTTACAGAATAAGTTGGCATGACTCTTAAGATCTGTTATATTTAGTGATTGAGTCAGAGATTACATGCCAGCAGGAAATCAAATTGAGAAGCAACAAATTAAATTCACCAAGGTTAGTATCACAATAAAATCGATGGATATAAACTTAAACCGAACCAAAATTGGATATTGAATACTGAATGTTTTACTTGAATTGACTAGTTTAATATATATGTAGTGTATATGTACTAGTGCATCGTTGTTTAAAGTAATAATTTAAACATGAGTGGAAGCTTGTAACCTTCAGTACACATTATGTAACTTGTTTTCCTTCATTGTTAGCAACATTATCATGATTGATTGAACTGTTTTTAAAATACTTTGATACTTTTCCATTTGTTACTGTTCCAGGTGTAAAATGCCATTGTATGCAAGGGCTGTGTGGTTGGAAGATGGAAAAGAGTTGGAAGGCACCGTCCCATACAGTTGGATTAATATGGCTGAAAAATTACTCAGATGGCCAGTGTCTCAAGAATCTAAAGCTTTCAACAACCATCTACCACCTCAGAAAAACTGGCTCATGTTTTCTCTCATCAAGGTTAAGATGACATCTGGTAAGTTTTTATGCATAGAATGAGTGTTGTATTATAAAACATAAATGTTATTTTGCTTCTTGATTGCAGTTAATACGTTTTAACTGATACCTATACCTTGGTACAGATTCCTGAGCATTACTTTTTGTGTATATCATCTTTAAATTACGAACTGAAAGTGAGTGTAGCTTAAATATGAAGTGTTGAAAACTTGTCTATTTAGTCATTGTAGAGGATTGCAGACCATCCAAAAGGCACTGACCTCAATAACATGAAATTTAGACTGTTAATCAGCAGCCTAGTTTTTAAAATAAGCATGCTTGTTTGCTCAGAGATGCTAGAAATTTGGTGTTGAATGATAGTTTTTCGATATTTGACAGTAATGACATTTGGTCATTAGCTTTGAATTTAATTGGGGTCCTTAACTTTTGGTGATTGTTCACTTGTAGTAAGTCGTCAAGAATGTGAAAAGTACCATTACACAAGCCAGGATGATGAACCTGTTGCAAACCTAGGAAAGAGAAAGTAAAAAAAAAAACTAAATATGATGACTACATTCTGGGTGAGTTTCTTCTTTCTTATTAAGTAATATTGTAAGTCTGTTGTATCTCATCATTAGGTAACCTAGTTCAGTGTTTCTCAACCCTAGTTGTGGAGTATACTGGTTTTGCATATTGTAGTGTGTTCCTACTTCATAATATGTCCATGAAAATTCAGGGCATGTTAATGAACTGATCAGTTGGATTCCTCTATTTCTTAGGTCAGCGCTCCTACTCTGACAGGCTTTAGAGCAGGGAAAACTCAAATATGCAGAGCCATGGGCACTCCAGGACTAGGGCTGGGAGTCTGGTGAATGTTCACACAAGTACCTTGGTATTAATCTGTGGTCCTTTTTTATTTTGTGTTCTGTTCTAAAGGCACATTTGTTTGATTTCAGTACTTATAGTAGTGTGCAGAAGAGAAGAATCCTTCTCTTTTCTCTTCTGAGAAAGAATCCTTCATTTAGTTTCAAGTCAAAAACAACGCACAAGTAATTTATTTTTCCCGAGCATCAGGAAAAAGTACGTCCATCCTTTGCCTTGAGTTTTTGCAAGAAATCTGCATGGATATTTTTCCACAGCTGCAAAGTTCAGTCTTAGAAGTTGGTTGCATTTTATGCCTCTCATGATCTAGGTAATCCCAAACACAACATTCAGCGATGTTGAGGTCTGGACTTTCTGAGGGGTGGTCAGTCTATTATTGTGAAAACACAAGCAGTTCTCTTATTGTCTGATTCCATTATTTCCATTGACTTACATTAAAAGTTGGTTTTTTTCCTTCTTCTGCAAAGTTATCATTTTTAGATACAAGGTGTTCTTCCAACAACAGTGATGTGCAAGATGTATAAAGTGAATCATTTGGTTTCTTTGTGTAATTGCAGAAACTGATCTATCTGAGGAAGGTGAGCAAGAGGGAGCAGAGGAAGAGAGCAGACCAAGTACAAGTAAGGGTAAGTAGGCCGATTTCAAAACTTACTCCGAAGAAGTTCTGTTTTGTTGAACTGTATTAATTTTTGTTAGATATTCTGATGACAGAAATTACCATTTTATTCTTTTCCTCGTGCATGTGCACTTTTGCAGTTTCGAATATGGTGTCAGCTCCGTTTCCAAAGCAGCCAGAGAAAGTGACGCCTTCATATAATGGTGAGTGACTATTTGCATATGCATAACAGGACTGAATTAACAGCATTTATGCAAGCCAATGAATGTTGTTTTCAAGAGTCGGATAAAGGCAGACACAGCCCAGGTCACTGTAGCTCTCGTGGTGCTGATAGAACTGCTCTGCTTTCTGGTTAGTAGTTTGGTTTTGAAGTTTGCTGTTTTTTTCTGATGTGTCATTATTATTGTTAATATTCTGTTATGTCATTCTTTTTTTTTCCTCTTCTTTTTCTTCTTATTAATGCCATCAGGTTGATACCTGCTGACCATATGGATCATTTTTTGTACATCTTGTTGCTGGCCATCTTTTTCCTCTTTTACTTTCAACTATTCCAAGCATCATTCTTTTAATGAATTGGCTCTTATTACAGTATGTCCAAAATGAGGTTCAGTTTGGTCATCCAGGCTTTTGCTGTCTTCTGAAGTTACTATTTTTATTGCCAGCATCAAAGTTAAGAGAGAAATATTTTTTCTGTGCTGCTTTCACAACCATGAAGAATTACAGAAAAGACCATAGCCGATATGTGTCATATTTCTGTATCTTCACTAGGGATGGGTACCAAAATTTAATACAAAAGGCACCAAATGAAACACTGCAGTACTACGAAGTACAGAAAAGCCTCAAAAATATTGGTGCCTGTTTTGCATAAAACTTTGCATAATATGCAAATCATGAGGGATTATTGGAGTAACCTTACTACTAATGCAAAAAAAGAAAAGAACATGATTGCCTCCCTGACGAACAGAAACGCAGAGAGCACACAGCTAGATAAATTTGTCGAAGATGTCGTAAGTCTGACTCTACTTTGAAAAGGTAACTAATAACAGTTCCAGATGCAACAAGTGCCCTAAGATAGTGGCTTTCAAAACGAAATCTGTCAAATCTGATGAAATATTTGATTACATGCGCAATTAATCAAGAAAACTGCAGAATTCTTAAGTGCATGAAGAACATTGCCACCGGAAATGGGAGAATCTGGGCTAAATATATATCAGCCACACGCCGACGCCAGTGTTTCCAGTGATAAAATAGCATCTAGTAAGTTAACACCTGGCACCTTTTTCGCTTTGCCAGAGAAAAATAATGCTCGTTACTATTCCATTTGCCATGCTGAAAGCCAGTTAGGATAGGATAACGTTAGCATAGAACAGCATTAAAAAATATTTTGAGTCTCATCTGTCCACTGTTCTTTAACTTTCCTTAAATAGGGCTTTCAGGTCTTCCTGATTTTCTGCTGTGAGCATTGAGATCTGCTAAAGGAAGGTTATGGATGCACCTGATCATCTTCCTCTGATCCTGCTCCTGTTATTATATGTTCAGCATATAGATTTAAGAAGTGTGATGATTTTATGCAGCCTTGTTTAACTCATTTGTAGATGTGGAATTCCAGCCCTTCTCCATTGTTACAAGATGATGCAATCTCGTAACGCAGACCTTTTTGCCTGCTTACTGGCAAGCTTTGCACGCCCTCACCCGGCCCACAGCAGCCACTGGAGGCAGCAAGAGTTTGTTCAGGGGCAGAGCGTCTAGGGCCTGAACTGGCATTTTGAACATAGAGCAGATTTACATGCTTCAAATAGACCCCAGAAATAACATTATGAATGCTGAAAATGATCAAAATAGGTCCCCTTTAAAACATTTAATTAAACCATTATTCCGTTTACCCTAACCATTAATCTTTTTGTTTTAAGCGATTGCAATATTCATGTTATTTAAAATTGCCATTAGCTTGGGAATTCACAGTAAACAGTCAATTTCACTGTATAAAATGTGTTTTTTTTTCTGTAATTTTTACATGATCTGAGTTGATGAGAGAATTATAACGTTATGCATCGGCCTAGTTTTAGCATGAACATCTGTCAGCTTCTTGTTGGAATTTTTTTCAGTTCCCACCCTAAATGATGCATCAGTTACATTCTGGTACCTCAGGCATTATAATAATAACTGTCGCACCATTTAAGGTGGAATGGGAAAAGCTGACAAATAAGAAGCTCACTTCAGCTTTGTCAGAGAACACAAGTAAAAGCTTCTTTGCATGCCTCCGTACTTAAACTACTATACACAGAGTATAATCTTGTTTTTACTGACGTTTATTCGCCGGGGATTAATATGAACTAAGGTTTATGGCTCATTTTACAGAAGGTAAAAGGCACCAGAATCTTTACTGATGCAGGACTGACGTGGCGCATTCGGACATGACTAAAAACACTGACAAATGCCAGTAATAATTACTTTACACCACCTCCCCATGTGAAACTAATCCCGTCCGAATAGGGCTTAAGACTTCTCTCTAGTCAAACATGTTTACTTCCTTCTTAAATTTCTTGGCTTTTTCATTTATGCAGCACACCTCATTGCAATACCACTTGTTTCATTTTCCAGGTTTAGAGCGTTGCAGGCTAGGTCGTTCTAGTTGTCATGATGGTGACAGGACCCCTCAGTCCTTTGGTTAGTAGTTGGGGTCATTATTCATGTGAGCGCTGGCCAAGTAATTGAGTTATTTCCTAAGTATTTATAAAAAATGACCTGCTTTGAATAGATCAACATTCAAATTTGTTGAAGTCACTGTAATGCTGACTGTCTTTGTTTCCCAGATTTATATCATCGTAGATGCAGCCCAGGTTCCTCTGGTTCTTGTGGTGGAACCCGAACCATCCTGTCCTCTGGTTAGTGATCAGCTTCACTGCAGGTTTTCCCATATAACATGTTAGCACAATTATTTGATCATATTTACAAAGAATCATTAACCTTTTAAACACAGCACACAACCTACATATTATCGTAGGTTGTATTATACCTACATATAATAATTTTATTATCGTGCTTATTGTACTTTTATGGTGCTTATTAGTAGGCAGTGTACTGGTTGAAATTCCTCCTAAGGTATGAGCTTTGTCATACCCTTTGTAGTGGTTAATCAGAAATAAGCACAGATAACACCGTATCATGAGCCATGGACGTTTGTCATATTTCAATTGAAAATAAAACAAAACTGAAGCAGGCCCTCGATCACTGAAAACTTTACAGGAGAAGGAAAAAACCTACTTTACTTTTAATGTAAGTCAATGGAACCAGATGTCCAAGTAATTTTGGGCTGTTTCTTTTAGTCCATCAATCATCAAATTTACACATACACAATAATTTTTATTCAATATTTGCTATACTGCATTACACTAAATCCAGTTAAACAGGACTAAATTTGCTCTCTATAATGAAACATGCAGTTGGTTAGTGCTTTAGAAGTATTGACAGTATCCACGATTTGTTCAGAAAAGTAGTGTCTTGTATTCTGACATAATTTATCGTGTGTGTGTGTGTGTGTGTGTGTGTGTGTGTGTGTGTGTGTGTGATATACATACACACACACACACACACACACACACACACACACACACACACACACACGCGCACTATATTTCCAAAAGTATTCACTCACCCATCCAAATCACTGAATTCAGGTGTTCCAATCACTTCCATGGCCACAGGTACTTAGCCATGCAGACTGCTTCTACAAACATTAGTGAAAGAATGGGTCGCTCTCAGGAGCTCAGTGAATTCCAGCATGGTACCGTGATAGGATGCCACCTGTGCAACAAGTCCAGTCGTGAAATTTCCTCACTACTAAATATTCCACAGTCAACTGTCAGTGGTATTATAACAAAGTGGAAGCGATTGTGAATGACAGCAACTCAGCCACGAAGTGGTCGGCCACGTAAAATGACAGAGCGGGGTCAGCGGATGCTGAGGCGCATAGTGCGCAGAGGTCACCAACTTTCTGCAGAGTCAGTCGCTACAGACCTCCAAACTTCATGTGGCCTTCAGATAAGCTCAAGAACAGCGTAGAGAGCTTCATGGAATGGGTTTCCATGGCTGAGCAACCGCATCCAAGCCTTACATCACCAAGTGAAATGCAAAGTGCCGAATGCAGTGGTGTAAAGCGCCGCCACTGGACTCTAGAGCAGTGGAGACGTGTTCTCTGGAGTGACGAATCACGCTTCTCCGTCTGGCAATCCGATGGATGTGTCTGGGTTTGGCGGTTGCCAGGAGACGGTACTTGTCTGACTGCATTGTGCCAAGTGTAAAGTTTGGTGGAGGGGGGATTATGGTGTGGGGTTATTTTTCGGGAGTTGGGCTCGGCCCCTTATTTCCAGTGAAAGGAACTCTTAATGCTTCAGGGTGGGCCGACATCATATTAAACCCTATGGATTAAGAATGGGATCTCACTCAATTACATATGCGTGTGAAGGCAGACCAACGAATACTTTTGGCAATATAGCGTGTGTGTGTGTGTGTGTGTGTGTGTGTGTGTGTGTGTGTGTGTGTGTGTGTATTATTGCCGGTCCCTTTATATATACCAATGCAATATACTAAACCATCAGAAAATTTAATTGTACCATGATTATGCATTTTTGTCCATACTGCCCACAACTACTAGTGCTACCTTGTTTTGCAGATTCAGATCATCGCAGATGCAGCCCAGGTTCTCATGGTGATGACAGAAGGCCCCTGCCTCTTGGTAAGCAGTATGTATTTTTTCAGCACTCAGTATTTATCAGTACCAAAATTTTCTTAATTTGGAAAGAGCCTCTCTCATGTGAACACACCAGCCTCAAAGTTTGTTTGTCACTTTGATGATGCCTGTCTTGTTTTCTACATACACAGTATGCCACAGACACAGCCCAAGTCGATTGAGCTCTTGTGGTGACAGAGCCCCCCAGTCCTATGGATAGCAATTGGCTTTAATTTTTTCTTTTTTTGGATTTATTTTTTGCTAGGCCACCCTATAAGAGTCACTATCTCTGAGTCACTGAGTGAAATGAATTCATTCATTAAATGGTGCTATAGACCAAATTAGATGAAGTGAGGTCATGATGTCCATTACTCACCTTTTACTCATGTAGGGTAGGAAGAAAGGAAGAAAAGAGAAAATGCATTAATTGAAACACATCAAGAAAAGCTCCTGCATGAATGAATGCAGTAGTGGTGAGTACTCAGTGTTTGAGCTTGTAGTGTGTCTATCAGTTGGAAATGATCTCCTTGCAGTATTTATTGGGGGGAAAAGTGCCTGGTGCATGTGCATCCACCAGACACTGCAGGCAGGTGGACTAAAATGTTGCAGCTACTATGCAGCAGATGGCGGTCCAGCAAAACTAGAATACACTAGTGCTGTTGCTTTTGCTACTTATCTTGTTTTGTAGATTTGGATCATCAGACACAGTCCAGATTGCTCTCATGGTATCAGTAACCTTGTGCCTCCTGGTTAGTAGTGGGAACAGTAACAGGGTTTGTTTTTCACAGCGTAGATTTGTTAAAACTAGTGTCAACTAGCTAAACTACATTTACAATCATACATCAACCTTCAGGTTTTGTGTAGTAAATTTTAGTGACTGTACTGTTTATCTTGTTTTCAGACTGTCACAGCCGCAGCCAAATTTGTTATAGTTCTTATGGTGACAGAGCCTCTCAGCCCTCTGGTAAGTCATTTGATTCATAATAGATAATTTGGTATGTGATATTGCCTCTCAGTGACTAGCAGAATAAAATAATATTTACAAAAAACAGCTGTTTCAGGCCACAAATTTTGCACTTAAATTATTAAACACAGTGTCTTAGAATTCAAATTCAAATTATCTCAAGGTCCCTGTCCTGTTTTAGACTATTAACGCTTTTTCCTTTTAGTTTTGCATTTCTCACATTACTGTCTCTTGACCTGAAGGATTCTTTTGCTTTCCAGATGGGAATTTGCCTCTGCCTGGCTCCATCCTGCCTAACATTCCGAACGTATTTCCCATGTCAGAGGCTTGTAAGCTATTTACCACCCCCCCCCTCTCTCTCTCTCTCTCTTTTATATAAGGTGTACTGTTACTATTTGTAATTTCACTCATTGTTGCATTGAGAATGTCTTCATACACATCACATAACATTAGCGCAGACAGATAATGAATTATTCATTACTGTTATGAACATGACAATATTATGTTCCACCTGAAATATTTTCTGTATCTAACACTGGTATTACATGTCTACAATGATGAATACAAACAAATGTTCATAAATTTTAACTAAGGTAGGATTTATTGTGATTTTTGTGGTTAGTGTTTCAGAAGCGAGTGTTGTCAAAACTTCTGGACATACATGAGGAGGTAAAGCGGCTTGGAAGAGCTGAGCCACCTCTGTCTGATACACACATAGTTAAAATGGACAGTATTGATGAGTTTGAAAGGGAAGAGCATAGACTTCAGGACAGGAATGCAAGAGAGGTTCTGGTAAGAGTGCAGAGGCTGGATGAGGTGTTCAGATCATACATTGGAGAGCTCAGTGAAAGTCACAATGTTGGCCCTGGTTGTTGTTGTTGTTGTTGTTGTTGTTGTTGTTGTTGTTGTTGTTGTTCCAGTGTCGGTGGAAAAAATGTGAAAGACTGCACCCACAAAGTTCTGGACAGGTATCTACATATAGCTTCATTAGTTAAGTAAGATGAAAACAAATCCACGATTTGTATATAAAAAAAAAAACTACCATTTAATTCATTTTTTAGTATTGACACAGAATATGTAGAGAGGAGAGTTGCCACTGTGTAATGTCTTACGGGTTTCTTAAACGCTAGAGGGGGCTCCCAGGCGAGTCCAAAATGAATGGGTTAATATGGAGCATTTGAGCAAAATCATAGTTTGTAAATGATTAAACATTTTTATATAAAAGAATACATTTATTTCCTGAACACAGAACAGAACATTTGAACTCAAGCAAAGCAAGCAAGCTGCTTTATTCCACCAATGAGCTGATCAGCTCACCAGCAGCACTCAGTAGCTGTAATGCTAGTATTCTATAGCCTAAAATCTGTTGCAGAAAAAAGGAAATAGACAGGCAAGTTTTTGCTTTTTCAGTGAAATATGTCCCTCTACTTTCCAAAATTCAAAGAAGGTACTGGTGGTTGGAAACTCTTTTAATTTTTTAGCAGTTTAGCTCCATTCAGCCCCATTCCTTATGGACTCGATTGTGGGCACCCCTGGCATTTTGCAGTCATGTTTTTAATAACTGGAGAAATAGGAGGTGGCCAGGCTCCCCTTAAATTGGCTCATGTATTGACTATTTTTATTGTTCTAAGGCTCTTAACTAACAACCTCATGGGCAGCTTCAACATGAAGGGAAAGGGGGAAAAAGAAGGCCCTTGAAGACACACACTTGTATTCTGTAATTAAAGGTAAGTGTTTTCATATATTCTGAAAATAATTTTTAATAATTGGTGGGAGTTTTGACTTTGTTTTATGATTAATATGTATGAAATTAATGTTGTAGCTGCCGTTATGAAATGGGACAAAAGTGCCACTGAAGCGGAGATCCGGATTGCAGCATCTGATCACTTGAAACATGCACCTGGAAGAATGGGGGGTGTGGGATATGATCATTAACCCCTTTTAAGACTTATTTAGTTAATTTATTTTGAAAGTAGTTCAGTAACTACAATGATTTATTATGGAACTGCAATGACTTGTTTGTAACTGAATTGTTTTATACTTAAGGAGTCTAAGAGGTTAAAATGTTGTTATTATTATTATTATTCTCTCTCTCTGAGCTGAAATAAAATAAAATTCTTTTCCAAGTATCGAAATGCCATTAATTTAGTTAAGCATTCAGCCTTTAAGTTAAATGGAAATTAAAAAGCAATTTACATGTTTTTTGCACATAACTGATATCAACACGCAAGACTAGATTTCAACATTTACAGGACGTCTAAAAGACGTCTTAAAAACTTTCATTCTGCACTCTCTGAGGACGTCATTTAGACGACCAGGTAAGATGTAATAAAGACGTCGTTTTAACATGTTTTTGCTCACTGGGGAGATAGTTCCTCCGGAGGTGGGGCCGAACCTGACGGCGTGGCCGCGCCTCCGGGGATCACCCTCCTGGCTCCCCTCGGGGATTTCCCTCTGGAGTAGTCACGTGACGATTCGCTGAAGCACGCCTTTGACCAAGTGAAAGTTATTGATGGTCAGTCGCTTGAGCCGGGATGGCCCCTGTCATACCCGCATTTTTCACTTATTAAAGATGGACTGTACAGAGTGACGCGGGACACTCAAACGTCGGAGGTTTCAACCCAGCTTTTAGTGCCAAAAAGCCGTAGGGAAATGTTATTCCATGCGGCTCATAATAATCCCATGGCAGGGCATCTGGGACATGAGAAGACACTTAATCGTCTAATGGTCCGTTTCTATTGGCCGGGCATTTACGCGGATGTACGCAGGTGGTGTGCGTCATGCCGCGAATGCCAGCTCGTAAACCCTCCGGCGATCCCAAAAGCGCCTTTGCGCCCCCTTCCATTAATCGAGGCCCCCTTCGAAAGAATTGGCATGGACCTCGTCGGACCATTAGATCGAAGCTCACGTGGGTATCGCTTTGTATTGGTCTTAGTAGATTATGCAACGCGATATCCAGAGGCAGTGCCTCTTCGCAACATTTCAGCACGTACCGTTGCAGAGGCACTGTTCAAAGTAATCTCCCGAGTCGGGATCCCGAAAGAGATCCTGACTGATCAAGGCACAGGTGAACATCAGCTACTTAGGCCCGCTGGTTCAGCCCGACCAGCTTCTCCGTCCCGCATTCGACGCTCGGCCACGCCCCCCTCTCCACAAAAATATACAGAGAACAAGATGTATTGGTTTTGGAACATTTTTGTGTATCTTAAACTGTGCTTAGACTTCAAGAAATTCATGAGGAGATGAATGCATCCTGTTAGTATGTGAGAATGCTACTGTTCTTTTGGTTCATCACTTTCTCAACTATCATTTACCCATCTCTACTTTCTTATAGTTTAGTGGGCTGATACCTGTTTTGGTAGCTGTAGTATGTTCCGTCTCTGGAGATGGTGCACAGCTGTTTGCCATAGCAGCACAAAGTCTGAGGTGAGAATTCATACTGTGGACAGATATAGGAACACAGTCAAGGGACGAGTATTTAGACATGGCAATAATGTATTTTGTCTCTAGTGAGGTATTTATGTCTGGAGAGTGAAGAAGTGTAACATTTCTTTCAATGTGTGCAGTGCTGTTCACAAAATTTGAACAGAGATCATTTTTCTTGTTTTGCCTGTTTTCCATCACACTGTATTACACATCAAAAAGCCAGTATGAAGTTATAGTGCAGAATTTCAGCTTTAGTCTGAGGGTAGTTACATATTGGAGGAACCATTTTATACACAGTCCTCCATTTTTGGTGACCTAGTATAATACTACATAGAGCCATGATTAGAACGTAGTAGTAAATGCTTTACAATTGACTCCTTGGATGCTGCAAACCACAAACAACACCAGGCACTAAGTTTCATCCCTGGTGGTACTTGTACCTGTTAATCCAGGTGTACACTAAGATTTGTAGCATGCCTTTATTTCAGATTTGTCCCTTCTGACAAATTTCAGTTGGAAAAATTATCAGGTTGTGAGCTCAAAAAGAAGCGACTGACAGCATGAATGATCGGGTAGAGTGAGAGGGTAAACACATAAACCTTTAGCCTTCTGATCAAGCTACCACATTTCAAACGCTTGTTTTTAACAACTTAAAATGAGTCCTATAGTGTGATTCAGGCAATTACCAATGAGAAAGCGGGCAGAGCAAAAAAGAGAATAAAGGACCTGTATGCACAGGAATGGAGGAGCTGCTTGCTGAATACTGGCAAATGCATCTTCACTTCAGACAAGTCAGCCATTTCATAGTAAAATGCTACTCTAGTTCTACCTGCAGCATATGTCCTAACCACATTCATCCTGTTGTACACTGTTTGTATTTTTGCATTTCCTCTTATTTTCTAACATTTCAATTCTGCATCGATTGATTCAGATATGCTCTTAAATTCATTCATTATTTGGCAGCAGATCTTTAAAAAAAATACATTAAAAAGTGCAAAATGCTTCTTGCATAACTATTCAACCCCTTTACACTAGTACTTGGTAGAAAGCAATTTTGCAGCTTTAAGTCTGTTTGAGTAAGTTTCTATCAGCTTTGCACACTGTTTGGGAGTGATTTTCAACCATTATTCCTGATAGATTTGTTCTAGCTTGTTCATGTTGGTTGGATGATGCTTGTGGATTACAATTTTCAAATAGGGCCAATGATTTTAGATTAGATCAACCACTGTAGAACATTCACTTTTTTGTTGTTCAACCACTCCTTTTGTTTCTTTGGCCTTGTGCTTGGTATCATTGTCCTGCTAAAAGGTGAAGTGTCTTTAATGCTTAGTTTAGCTTAGTTTTTAGCAGACTGAAGTAAGTTGCAGTATCCCTTTCGTTTGCGCCATCCGTCTTAATTTTAACAAGAGAAATGGGCAGTGTTAGGCTGCATTCAAATGGCAAATGGCGTGTATTCTGCCCAAAACACCATTATATCCTACAGCAAGATGCAGATTCCATGGGCTCCACTCATTCAATGTTTTTTACATTGTGGATTCTTGTGGACCAAGTTGAAAAATGTTCTACTTTAGTGGAAAAGCTCTGCTTGTCGTGTCACTTTTCACGATGTGACCAATCAGAAAAGATGGACAGCAGGACACTTTTGCTCACATTTGCAATTTGAAAAACAGTGAGCTTGAACAATAATATTAATTCACTGGCATATGTACCATCCTGTACTCTGTTGTCTGAGGTTTGCTAAAAAACTTAGACTTAGACAATACCACCTTGCCCCTTGCCACCATGTAGAAATACAATCTGTCTCTTCGCTGGATATGGTGATAAAGCTCTTGCTAAAGTTTGCTAATGTTTAACTGGGCCGATTAGGAGAAATTAAAACGAGAGAGAGAGAGAGGGAGAGAAAGTGAGCAAGGGAGCCTTTATAAAAATTATAAATTACAAAAAGTTAGTTTTGGTTTATTCCACTGATAAAATGTGTAAATAAAGTATTTTGGTTGACTTGGGCTGGGTGTTTGTGTATGTTTGAATCTCACTGGGTCTACCAACAGGTTTTTGATCTGTAACCTGTTGGTTTTGACTGGAAGACAAGAGAGTTGACTTTCTGTAAAATATACATTCCTACTTTTTTCTGACATGGGGGGATATATATATATATATATATTTCCCCATGTCAAAAAAAAAGTAAATGTATATTTTACAGAAAGTCAACAAAAGCCTCCAAACTACGTATGAAATCTATTACTATTTAATTTGTTCACACTCTTCTTTTGTGCACCCTACTGCCACTTTAACTCCCATCTTCTAGTCTAAACCAACAGGTTACAGATCAATAATCAAATAATTAGTTAATTCACTTGCACAAAGAAGTTTCTGTCCATTCTTCCACTGTGACAAGACAACTTCAAGCTATGGGTCTGAAAGGATGTGTAGCTATCACAGAGCAGTCATTAAAAAAGGGAAACTGCACTAGGGCACCTACAATAAACATCTGAGATGTGGAGTATGGTTTTATGGACTGCTGTGTCTAAATATGTAACTGAGGCAACTTAGATTGTGAGTAAATGCAACTAACTTCGGAATTTTGACTGAGAGCAAGTCTTTCGCAAACAAGAGAAGCTGTAATAAAGAACAAAGTAAAAACTGAAAAATTTGATACTATATGTAGCTATTGACATTTCTGTGTAATGTTGTTTTCTCCTTTTTTAATAGCTGTAAAATGAATAACTTAATTGCAGTTTTGCCTGAAAATCAAATAAATTAAAGGGTGGTCTCTGACAATATAGTCTCTGTACAGTATGAATACTCTGACTATGGTCTCTGTACAGTACTGAATACACTAAATGGATATATACACGTGAGACAAAATTTCATTAGTATGTACAGTGCTAGCAAGAAAAGCATTACATCGTTATTGTTATTGTGCTTGCAAGGTGCTGTCCTTCATTATCCACATTCAGTATCATTTAAACATTTCAGAAGTTCTTTTTTGTGTTTGTTTTTTTTTTATAAGATTTGACTTATACACTTTACAATACACTAATGAGAAATACATTTGGATGAGGTATTTATGAATATTGCTCTACTTTTCTTGTCTCTTTTTTCCATACTTTCTTCCCTTTTTATACGTCCTTTAATTCTGAAGTAGCTGTATTTTCTTCAAGAAATGCAAAATGCAAAAGATATTTCTTTGTTATCCATAATGAAAGTACTGATCCTTCAACATATTTACTACTGTTTTACCATTAACCTTGTGTTGTGTTTTTTTTTCTATAAACAACAGCATTCACCCTTTATTTTTTCTACTTTTCTTTCTTACCTTAATTTTACCTTAACTTACTTTTTTACTTATTTCTTTAACCTTTAAGACTATTATTTTTCCTCGCAAGCACTGTAATTAGCCCATTGGTCACTGTTTCATTTCAGATTTAATGTGTTGTATTACACAGTTAAAACATCAATTCTTAACCAGATCCTTACAGACTGCATGGTCTGCACTGCACCAGCCATTTCAGCATGTCTCCCATCAACATTCATTCTACCTCAGTGTACAGACTACAGTTCTCACCTTCTTGCCACAGCAATAGCCTAGTCCCTGCATGATGGGATCAATTTCTTTCTCAAACACCTCAGCTAGTTTGGAGCAGTACTTGTAGACCCTTGATGTCTTGCGGTTATAGAGCCAGGTGTTGTTAAA